ATTTTTCGTCGAACTGGATCAAATAGAGAATTAATTGGATTTTTAAAATATAATATATGAATAAAACCAGAATCATCACCAAATATTAAAGTTGATTCATTAATACCATTCTATAAATATGAAAAAATTTGGTTTTGTATTATTTAAAAAAAAAAAAAGAAATCAATTGTTTTTGTCTACCGTCTGACTTGGATGATATTCAAGACAAGTAGGTACATTTTTAATACCTTCAAAAAAAAAAAAAAAGAAAGAAAGAAAAATTCATATTCAAAACTTCTCATTCATATAGATTTACCAAATAATACAAAATCTTCAAGAAATGTTTCACTTGTAATAGTAAAAAACCGTAAATCACGACTGGTAGATGCAATTACTAATTTATGTACATCAGACATATAAATAGCATCTGTTATCCACATTCCAGCTCGACGACGATTTTGTCCCATATTACCTGTATTATTACTACTTGATGTATCATCAAGTTCATCAACAATACAATATGTTTTTTCTAGATTAAGATATGGTGTCCATAAACCTAGATAACCTTCTTTACTTATATTAATAAATCGAACTGGATTTTCTAAATGAAGAATTTTTGCTGTTAATTCTTGCTAAGAAACAAAAAAAAATAAAAACAAAGAATTTTTATAAATTTATTTTTAAAATTAAAATATAATAAAAAAAAAACCTTATTATGAACGACATGTCGAATTTTTGGCTCATTATTAAAAGGTGATATACGAAGAGTATTTGCATAATCTTCTTCTTGATAAAATTGAAGCATATATGTACAAAAATCATTCCAATTAATTAATCCTGTTTCTTTTGAATTAAGCTAGATAAATCAAAATAAAAAATAAATAAATTTATTTCAAAATTTTATTATATTACTTTATCAAATAATTTTTCTAATTGATTTCTATATTGAGCAAGATCTAATATAGATTCAAATGAATTAATAAATTCGTCTTTATTTAATGAACCTATTAATTAATATCAATGAAACAATAAAAAATTTTATTATAAGAAAAGAAAATTTTTGTTTTTCATACCAGTTGTTTTATCATGAGTTTTTGTAATATTCTCATAATTATCAATTGTTGCACGATCAAATCGTTCACGAAGAAGACGAAAATCTTCGACACGTAATTTCTTTTCAATAGTAAGCGATTCATTACTAAATATAAGATATATTTAAAAATTCTCATATTTATTAGTCTCATACTTGAATTTGTTAGTGATATACATTAAGAAATAAGAAAGTAAGAAGTACTATTCTTCTTCTTCTTCTCCTTACAACTTATCAAATTTCTATACTTCAAATTTTTCATATATGATTGAGAATAATAAAAAGAACGAATCATAGTGAAGCATTGAAATTTGAGAAGAAGGTTTCAACTCATTAATGATCTTGATAGTATGCATATAAATTACCTGTCAATTTGAAGAAGAAGTTCATTGTTGTTTAGTGCAGTTGTTTCATCTTCAATTTTTATATTTAAATTTGTATTCGTTGTCATTATAGTTGTAATTTCTTTTTTGTTTCTGTTTTACTATTTTCGTGTTTGTCTAATCTTCTAAAATATTATTATTGTCGGTTAAATACAGACAACATCATCATTATCGATAAAATTGTTGTCGACATAAACCAAAACAAGTTTTTTTTTATAGGGCTTCTTTACTTTAAGTTTTTTTTTCAATACTTTATCGTCATTTATGTGTAGCGTGTTGTCTTTTTTTGTGCTCGTTTCTGTGGTTGTCACCTTGTTAAACAGCAACCGTCACTTAGTTCTCTTGTTCTTCTAGCAGTCGCGACAACATAAAGCAGAATTAAAAAACATTGGAAAAAAAAATGACGAAGAAGAAGAGAAAAAAAGAAAGTTAGTAATGCGATCGTACATGTAAAAAAGAAAGATCTGAAGAAATTAAAAGCTATTATATCCCTAACGAGCGAGACGATAAAAGCAATCGAAAGATCGATTTTTTTATTTATGACAATAATTTTCCATCAAATCAAGTGTAGACTTCTGCAATATATCAATCATATTTAAAAAAAGCAATAAAAATTTAACGAAAAAAAATTTATTGTTGTTACTTTTTTTAACCATGAAAATACGTGAAAAAGTTGTTTTTTTTTCTGGAAGTTTCACGAGTGTTTGTTCTCTAAAAATAGGTTAAAGTATTTTAACTTATAAGATTTCGTTACAAACAACTTTGTCACATGTTTTTACGAATCAAAAGAAAGGTAGCGACCAGAGATGAGTACAGGACATATTTGTCTGTCCTGACCTGAAGCCGTACGCAGTTCTAGCATACGATAGAACCAGACAGTAAGAATTCTTATATTGACTTTCGATTATCAAAGTACATATTAGTTATCTGATAGTTAATTTATTTCAAATACAACAACTAAAATCTTCAATAATGACTACTATTATAAATACAAAACAATATAGAAATATCTTGAGTCAATGAAGCAAATAGAAGGTTGAAAAAGTACTTGATCACAAAAATGATACAAAGAAAAAGAAAATAATATGGAAAACAAATGTTTTTATAAAAAATATTTTATCTTTTTGTATTATTCTAAACAATAAAATTTTAATCAGTTGTTCAGAATTAAGACTAATGATTCTCAACACTAACTGATGTAGCAAGTATTGAGTGAGAATAAATCGGACATATCGAGTCAAATGGAAGAATTCGTCTTGATACTCCTTCTAAAACTGCAAATTATTAGATTCTAATTTTGATTTATCAAGTTCTAAATTAAGATAACGATTAAGTTCGTCGAGTTTTTTTTACCACAAGATGAAATTGCTTCAATTTCTTATTCGCTACATTTTTCGTCAACACCAAAACTACTTGATTCAAATCGACTAAATAAATATTTTTGAAAATTTCTTGTGTAACAGTTTGTTAGTTTCTTGTCAATCTACTTCAAAGGTGAGAACAGGAGAACTTTTTCTGTCCTATCCTATAACCAGCTCTGGTAATGACATCTTTTTGTATTAAATTTTTGTCAGTTTTAATACGGAAATAACTATACAAAGTTTTCATATTTCATCTATTCATTATTAGATTTTCAAAATCAAATAATATCTAAACTAATGAATTTAAAAAGTCCGAAAATGAAGCTTTGATGAGAGAAATAGCATGTAATAATAACAATCTATAACATATTTGAATATTTATTATTTGTTTAGAATCACTGTTGATGCACAAATCATTTTTTCAAAATATTATTGTTGGGTTTCAATTTATTTTTAGTTAACTGATCGAATAACATATTTCTTCTAAAAACAAATTTTCTTCAAATGATTTGTGTCAAGTCCTAATTAAACTAGAAACAAAAAATGAAACAAGCAGATCTTTACAAAAGTATACATTTGAAAATATAAATTTATTAGTTGAATAAAAAATAAACTAACACAATGAAAGATGATTTCAAGAAGGTAGATTTAATTTTAGTCGATTATTGCTAAGATATAACTCAATATTTTGATCAATAATACTAACATTAACTTTATCATTGTATTTTACATAATTTTCTAACAATTAATATATCAATCAAGAGAAAAATAAAAAGAAATTTTATAATCATTATCAATATATTTCTAAATAGATCTTAACTGTTTACAGTTTCATTGCAATGTTTTCTCTTCTCTCTATCGATATTATTTAAAGATTTAACGATGTATTATTAGAATAAACAAACAACAAAAAAAATCAGCAAAATAAGTTCATAGATCATGTTGTCCAAATTTGTATTGTCTTGAAATCAGATTCAATATAATCACGATCAACAATTGGATATTCACATGTACATTTCATTTTATCATTTAATTGATTAAAAACAATCGATTTAAAACTGTATCGACCTGGATCAGCAAGTAATACATGAATATGATATTGACGAGCAACAATAATTAAATTTAATATTTGTTTTGCAAGTTGATCATCATAACACATATCACCAATGATAAGCATATCGATTGTATTTTTCTTGAAAGTCAATAATGAATTTTCAAGAATATTGTCAGAAGAATATTTATCGATCGTGATATTATTTAATCGAGCATTATGACAAGTAGCGATTAGAGCATCTTAAAGAAATAAATAACAAGGATTAAAACGATTGAAATTAATCAAATAGTTGTTTACCTTTATCAATATCATTAGCGATTACATTCATTGCTCCTGCCATTTTAGCAGCTATTGCACTTGCACCACATCCACATCCGATATCTAATACATGACGTCCTCGAATTAATGATTTATTATCTAATAAATAACTGTTGATAATAATTAAAAATTGTTTGTAAAAAAAAAAGGATAAAATAAAAGAAATCCATTACCGAGACAATCCTTGACTTCCAGGCCAAAGAAAAGCCCACCATGGATCGGATCGATCTAGTTTAGTCATTGCTTCTTCATAAGGAACATGCCAAAGAGGATTAGATGAAGTTAATATACTCAATGTTAATTCAGGTACAAGAAGACAAGCATAACGAACTGGTGGTAGAAGATGATGAAGAATATATTCGCATGTTTTCATTTGCATGTTTTTTAGTTTTTATTTCTTTCTGAAGTTAAAAAAAAAGAATTTTTAATAATTGAAACTATTCAAGGAATAATTAATAAATAACAACTAGTAAATAATATCTCAAATAATGAAATCCATTGAAAATAATGTGTCTTCAAGGATTCAATCCAAAATCAAACATCATATATATATCAACCATCGACAAATGAGCCAAAAGATATACTCAGCAATATTCCATCTTAGCTACTATTCAAAATTCTTGTATTTTAAAAACAATAATTTACATTTGAATAATAATTATTTATTTTCAAAAATAAATTCTACGTAATAAAAACATATTGTCATTGAAATGAAATTCAAATATCATAGATCATTAATCATTCATTGAAAATATAGTTTAGAATGAGTTTGACATGCAAGAGTTGTACGTGTCAATATTCTTTGATCCTGTTTATCAATATCCATACATTTCAGGAAATGAACATCCTTTTGGATGATTTATTATTGTACACCAATGAGATTCATAAACATAATAATTGACTTGATATTATTTTAATATTAAATGAATATAACGAAGTGAATTTCGTGAAAACATTCTATAAACAAGTTTAGTACGATGACGAATTTTTCTATGTTCATAATGAGAATGAACAATAATTCGACGACCTGTTGATAATTTTAAATTAGCCATTGTACCTGCAAATATTGATTCATTTTGAATATTTAAATTAATCCATTCAATCATTTTTTTTTGCCTATTGCTAAAATCAGTACTGAAATTTGTACTCACAATATAGTTCAGCACAAAATTGCGAAGCAAAAGCTGCGCGTGTCGAATCTGATGGATAGTTTTTAAACATAAAACTGATAACATTTAGATCAAGATTGTCTCCTTGTCAATACCATTATAGCCTGCATGTAATCAAAGAAGAATTTGCAACAAACTAGATTCCTATTAGAAACAGTGTTCAAATGCTTTATTGTCTCAATAAACAGTAACTAATATCATTCCAACGTGGCAAATGAAACACTGAATACATCCAAACAGATGAATATTCAGATTTTGTCCTCATCAAATCAGATAGGTAATGGATATTTTTCGAGGGGGATCCTATCTGATATATATTATTGTTTATGGAATAGTAGAAAAGAGTAACAAATAATAACAATAAAATATCCATTATTATATCGTATCAATGTGAAAGTAGTATCGCAAATATTAGTCGTAACTAATCAAATTGTATTTTTCTTGACGACAATTTTTGCATCTCCCAATAGACAAGAACAAGAAAAGCAACTAATTATGATATCAGTGATACAATTAGTATCATAATGTTTCGCCATTAAGTAATCGAGCACGAAAGAAATTTCTCGGAATAAAAAAATGCTCATTTCAGGCAGAAAATATCAATCATATGAAACTTAAAAATTAAATGACTGCTTTTCAGTGAAATAAAATTACAAATTTCAGATACCGATTAATAGAAGTGTCGTCGCATAGATGACGGCATATTCTAGTTCGTCTGAGGTTCTTATTCTGCCCAAATTTCGGATATATAAGAAAATAACAAAAACAATAAACTTCTCTTTTTATTTATCTTATACAGTTTGATTTTTTTTTAATAACAATAAAAAAACTTTTTAATGATCATATCAGTTAACAACAGTCATAGAAAAAAAGCCTATTGAAATTATGATTGTTTAGATAATGGTGAAATCAAAATAACACCATCACCACGTACAAATAACATTGGAATTTGTCGTTTTGTTGGCTAGAAAAATCAAATTAAATACAACTAATTATAATAAATTAATAGATATTGCTTTTAATTTACTCGATAAATTTGTTCAAATGTTTCTTCATCAATTTCTATTGTTGTTATTGTTTCTTCAACGTCACCCAAAATCATATTTAAATGTTGATCAAATGCCTATTAATAGACAAAAAACACTTCTTATTCTCTATTCGTTTTATGTTTGTTCTTACATGAAGACGACCACGTAATTCACGTTCATTACGCATTTTAACACAAACTTTTTCATCAAGACTTAATCGAACAAGATCAAGTGGTTCTTCAACTGATGTTGCTGTTGTTGTTGCTACCTTTACTCATTCAAAAAAACAAAATTATTATTCACATAAACAAAACACTTACTTGATCACCTTCGTCTCCCATTTCTTTTTATATATATATATATTTTTTTTTTGTTTTATTAAGATTGAAATTTCACTTTAAAGAGATCAATATATATTCACTTATGTCATTATTAGTGACATCTCTCAAAGAAATAAGAATAATAAATAAATTAAATTTTAAAATTAAATATCTTTTATTTAAATTTAATTTTTTTCTTAAAATAAAAATCTACATAATGAATAGATAGAATAATTAAATATAAAGATTAAATTAATTGAATGATTTTTTTCATTGGTAGGAAAAAAAAAAGAAAGAAATGATAGAGGAAAGGTGAGAGAGAGGACAGACAAATGACATCAGATCAATATGGCGATAGACATACAGATTAGTATTTCTCCGAGTGGTGTAGAAGAAGAAGAAAAAAACAATCTATGTAAAATTGATTTCATTGATTGATTCTTTATTAATAATTAAGTAAAATTTTTTCAAATCAATTGAATAAAAAAATGAAATCAGTTATGATTAAATGCACTTAAGTTTAATTGTAAACAAATTTTATTTTACTGATTTACTGAATGAATCATTCGTTTTTTTTTTCTTTTTTTGTTTTATTTAGATTTATTCTCTTTTTTCGAATGGTGCCTGTTCACGGTATTGACGAGACATAGAAAAGAAAAACTAAGATCTTTTGTATTGGTTTTTTTATATACTCGTGGCTAAAATTCGAAATCGGTTTGTTTTATTTTGTCAATTTCATCATCATCATCATCAAAAAAAAAAATTATTTAGAACAAAAGTGGATCCCAGTGGATTCCAGCCTGGTCTTGTTGACACGCCTGGTGCTGGTGGAGTTTGGCAAGGTCCACCACCAGGTTCACAACTACCATCACAAACTCCAACTCATTTAATTCATCCACCACCTCCACCTCATCATCATCCTGGAATTACTACTGGACGTATACCAATTATGCCACCACGAGATGTACATTTTCCGTAAGAGATTTTTGTATTTTATTAATATATGAAAAATTTTTCTTTTCGTTTAATTAGTCCACAACATATGAGATCGTTTAGGTAAGGAAAAAAGTAAATGTTTTTTTTTTATAATTGTATGTTACTTAGGCCGTCATTACCACCACCTCCTCCGTCACCTGAATATCGACTGCACGATTTAAATAAACGTTTATCAATGAGAACAGAAGTACAACAACAAAAAAATTGATTTAAATCAATAAAACATGAAAATATATATTTTTTTTTTAAAGGAATGCGATAGTCAATGGTGGGATGCATTTGTAAATGAATTTTTTGAAGATGATGCTACATTAACAATATCAATTTGTTTAGAAGATGGACCTAAACGATTTAGTATGTTAAATTCTTTCTGTTTTCTAAAATAATATTTTTATATTGTGTTTTTCCTTTAAAAAAAAAAGGTATCAGTCGTATATTAATTCCACGTTTTTTTCGTACATTATTTGAAGGTGGTGTTAATGAAGTTTATTTTCAATTAAAACAAACCAAAGAAATTTTTCATAGCCCAACAATATCATTGGATTGTGAACAAGCATCAATGGTAACTTGTTTTGGAAAACCATCACATATTAAAGTAAAAAACAGAAAAACAATGAAAATTAAAATTTAATTTTTATTTTTATTTTAAAGGTTTGTACAGAAGGACATCTTATACTTGAATATACATTTGATGATTTAATGCGAATAAAATCTTGGCATTTTGCAATAAAACAATTTCGTGAATTAATTCCACGAAGTATTGTTGCCATACCGGTATGAATATAATAAGAAAAAAAAAAATAAACATATTGATACAGTTTGAAATTCTTGTTCATAGTTTAATTGAGAAGAATTCTCTATGTTTTTTATTTTGAAAAAAAATATAATTAAATTTAGACGGATAATCCAAGTTATCTTGATCAATTATCAAAAAATTTAACACGAAGTGGATTAACATCTGTTATGTTAAATTTTCTTAGGGTATAAATTTAATTGATTAATTTGTTTTGTTTTTTTTTTTGAATTTGATCTATTAATTTCTAGTTATGTGAAATTCTTGAACCAATGCAAGAATTAATGTCACGTCATAAAGCAACAACATTTTCACCGCGTGATTGTTTAAAAACAATTTTACATCAACGTTGGTCAAAAACTTGTTCAGGTAAATATAAAATTTTTTTTTGTTCGATTTATGATCAAAAAAAAAGCAAATATTCTTCTATCAAGAAAATAGAATAATAATAATCGTAACAAACGAAATAATTCTCTTTTTTTAAACTTTTATTCAGAATTTCCTCTGAGTCCTTCATTTCCAACAACATTACCATGTCAAACAGTTCTAGTATCAGGTATTCAATAAAATACACGCTTTCACTTAATTACTGCGCTCCACACAATATATTCTTTTTGATTATTTAATAGAATACACTTCATATTATTATTATTATTTATCTTTTGATATTTGTTTTTAGACAGTCGACCACCAGCAAAACCACGACGGAAAAGAAAAGCAACAGCAGCAGCAAATAATGCTAATACACCAGGAAATAATAATAATACTAATACTCCAAATCCTATGCCAACAGCAAAAGACACTAATATAAATCATTGTACAATTTCAACACCAACGAAAAAACGTTCACCAGCTGCTAATACAACTTATTCTCAACCAGTACAAGGAACAATTACTCCAAATATAAATAGTATGCCTGGGGTAAATATATATATATATTTATTATTTAATAAATAAAATATGAAATTATTTTTTTTGTTTTCTATAGGATGTTATGATTGTTGGTGAACCATCATTAATGGGTGGTGAAATGGATGATGAAGATGAACGATATATAACTCGTTTAGAAAATACTCAATATGATCCAAATGTAACAACATCTAGTCATCATCCACCACAATATCTTTCACCAACTCATCAAATGTTACCAGGATTTCATTCACAACAACAACAACAAAATCCAAATCTTCAATCATTACTTCATCAAAAACAACAATTTATACCTAATTCACCACTTGTACATACAAATCAAATAAAACGAGAACAAATGTCATTTCCTGGTTCACCTCAACAACAACAACAACAGCAATTACCATCGATGTTTTCTACTGGTGGTCCACCAACACCAAATGCAAATACAAATTCAAATATATTTCCGCCACCACCACCATTGACACCAATCAATGGTGATTTATCAACTGGCGGAAAACGAATTTCAACAACAACATCAAATATTTCTGTATCAGGAAATACATCAATAACAATGAATAATTCTTCGAATTCTCCTCCAACACCATCTTCAACAAATCATAATCAGGTTTGAATGAACAAATTTAGTTTTTTTTTATAAAAAAAAAAACTTTGCCATTTTTTTAAAGTAGACTTATGAAACGAAGGGCATTATGTTAAGAGTAGGTACCTAGCTGAGGGTGAGAGTGAAGGTTAATACTTTCAAATGTATAATATACTATCAATAGATGAGCCAAATAAGTCTCGATAGGCTTTCGGCAAGACGCATTGTAATGTCTAAAATCGATCATCCATGATCACTTGATGCTTATTCGTTTTTAGACGTATGAG